TTTCTGTTGGAGATTATGCATCAGATTCAACTAATTTTGGACACAACAGACAAGAGCGAAGATACAAGACACATGTACTAAAGAAATCAGAAAGTGGTTAAAATGACTTCCAATGTGATACATTTATTAATAATATTTCAGTGAAGTGACACTACAGTTTAATTTCTTAATAATTTATGAAAGACAATAATTCTAAAAATAATTTCAATTCATTCATATTTTGCGCCAATTTCTGAGGCCCTGGAAGACGTTGAGAAATTAGTGTACATTAACGTGAGGTCTTACGAACGTCTTCAAGCAGCTGATACACATTAACGTCATGTTTGACTCTTTTATATTTTGAATCTTTTTGGAGGTGTGCTAAAAATACACGTTTGATACCAAACGATTCTGCTTCTTCGTATCTTATAAGGTCCCCAAGAGTAAGATTTCGTCTGTAGCCGTCCAAGGGTGGATCAGGAAAGATAGTTCTACAGCTGGCGAATGCCGATAGTAGGAGCCAGTTGGAGCGTAAAATATGAATTAATTTGAGGGCACATGGTTTGAAATTGGTGTCAAATATACACTTTTCGGATGAAGCCTTCTAGGCAAAAGTCTAGGCCTAGCTGGTGACGTCCAATTGCTAAGAGGGGCGAATTTCCTTGCCAGGGTCTCAGGGAAATCAAGGGACCCCTGCATTGGGGAGTCCTTGAAGAAATGGGTTGGGCACATTTTTGGATGAGACCCTTAAGGTTGTATGCAAGCGACCCTAGGTCAGTGTGTCTGGTAGTAGGACTAAATGTAAGACCTTTGTTCAGCACTAGCAACTCCAACTGACTGGGTGTGTAGTCGGAGAGATTAAAGACAGAGTCAGTGATATAAAATTCAGAACGTTAATTCGAGCAAGCATTATTATTTGAATTAAAGGTATCAACAAAAAGTTTGAATTTGTTAAATAAATCAAAATCGCAATTTCGGTTTTTGAATCCATCCGTGCATCGAGACAGGTTTTCCAATGGTTGCATTCCCTGACGACGAAACTCTTGATAGCTTGAGCCGAAATGTCCGATTATAGCCCATTAGCTGACACATCCAAATGGATTGTGAAGAGGTTCAGATGTTGATTGAGCTGTGTCTGGTTGGTGTTGAGCTGTAATAGGTTAATCTCCATTAGTTTGAGGCTGTACAAAAGGAGTGCAGTCGCTCTTTGTTAAAGGTGATCTAGCTCAGACAGGCAGTATATAAGTTTGTAGCGGGAAGAGAGATCCAGGGGTTGGTTGTTCATCTGCTTCCTCTGTGGCCAGGATGGTGTCCATGGAACATGTAGCAGTAGCGGGTTGTTCTACCGAGTTGTCCTTAGTGTACTCTAATGGGCTTGAGATTTGCAGAGAGGGCTTTTGTAGATTGCCAATATAGCTTCTCCTCGAGCATCAATAAGCAAAAAATACCAAAGGGCCACTCACGCCCAGTTTTTGTAATACACTACAATCCCCCACAGTCCACATCAGCTAGATCCTTAATAAAGAAAACTGGCACATCCTTTCGAGATCCAATAGCTTCTATTCCCGCTACCCTGCCTTACAGCATATGGACGAAACCCTTCTCTTATAGATCTCCTCACATCAGCTTCTATCTAAACCTCGCATTAGGCTGAAAGAACACTTTGCTGATATCTATCATAAGAGAGAAACACCAGTCGCCTTTCACTTCCATTTACCTACCAAATAATCAAACAACTTGGCACCAACCCAGACCTATCACAATCCACAGCCAATAGACACTGCATTGAACTCCATTGGATTATCAGATTGAAAACTTTCCAACCAGATAAAATCAATGACAAAATCTAATCTTGGACACCCCCACTTCTCTCTTTGTTATAATATCATCAATTTACTGTCAGTTACTTTCAGTTGATACCTCAAATCAAATTATCATCAAATTCAAACAAAGTCTCATCAACATACAAATTGGTTAAACACTGAAGCCTCTGTGATTTTTATAGATCAAATATGTCACCTTTTGAATTAGTCCTGGGCAATTCATAAAAAACAAAACATGGTAAATTATGAAATATTATCATTACGTACATACATATCTGTACAGACGCCAAGAATTGAATTAAACTGGACAAATTGTCATTTGTTATGTTAAGATTCTGGCACACTGGGGGAAGTACTGTATACTTTAATTATTTCTTTTAGAATGCCGATTGTGATCCAAAAACAACAATACACATTGATGCTTTTCTATATGATGATGAAGAAATTGATGAATTAGAAGAGGAGGGAAAAATAAGTAAAAAATATTGTGTAAATTGTGGTTCTAAACAGGTAAAACCTTTAGGTAAATATATATATAGAATGTAAATATGAGATTTTATAACTAATTCAATGTATATCTAGCAGATTATATTTGTATATTTCAGTTTTTTTAACTAATTTATGTCTTATAAAATTTTATCTGTATATTTCAGATTTTATAACTAATTCAATGTCTGTCAAACAAATTAAGTATATATTTGAGTATGTATTACCAGATTTAAGGAATAAAACTATTTTAGATGTTGGATCAAGAACAGGTGCTTTGTTGTATGGTGTAAGTATTATAATATGTTTCTTTATTTTATTTTAAAGTTTTAACAAAAATATTGTTATCACTTTAGTATTTTTTTATAAAAAAGAGAAGAAAACAAGAGAACGAAGTGGTTTTTTAGACCCAAATTCACATTTTTATATTCAGAATATATAATGCATATATTTCAATTTTTGAAAGTACCAGGTAAGTACCCATCATCAACCGCAAGGAAATGTAAAACAAATATTGCTGCATGTTGGACCAACATGGCTGGTATTAGCAAAGAGGCAGGCTATTCCCACCTTAGCATCTATTTTTATTCAACTTTGCAATTATTGTAGCATAAATAAAGGTCAAGAATTCTCTCATGCTTAGCTTCCCCTGAAGAGTTCAACCTTAACGAAACCGTTCTGGCTGTACACACCATAATCTAAATTATAGATTAACTAATATATGGGTTCGATATCAATACAGTTGATTAACAGAAAGATGAGGCTTCATCCATTAGTGAAATGATATTATTGCAGCAAATTTTGCAATTAAATGATTTTTATTAACAGAAAAAGAAAATGTTGAGTCTCTTTATAAATTTCTAATTCCCAGTAGTACCAAATACAAACTTCATGCTTAAAAACATGTAATATTACAAGAGCAATTGGATTATAAACAATTATGAATAAAAAAAAGAATCATCTTATATAACGCTGCAACATCGAATCAGTATGGCTTCTGTGTGACACTTCTAAATAGTACCTAAAGCTATAATTTAGAAATTTCAAATAATATTACAGATAAAATGTGAATAGAATAGGACTAATTGTCATAAATATAAACTTCCTTCCATAGATAAGTTATACATCTAGAATCCAACAACTCATTTCATAAATTTTATAATACCTACACACAAGTGAAAGATTCTATATATCAAAAAACATAAAGAAACTCATAATTTCCTTAAATTCCTTAAACTTTTTCTATATGGGGCCTTAATTTTGAGGTTCACCTTTCTGTACCATTCAGCTTGTCTGTAACAAATAGATAAAATAAACACATTAATGTGATAACTAAATTGAATCTTTTAATCATAGCTAGGCTATTTGGAACAATGTCATGCCCTTTACCTTCAATCTTACCTGATTTGTCAACATCAAAGAATAACAAGTTGTTCTGTTTATATTGTGCATGAATACATGACCTAATTTACATTATTATTAACCATTGCTTCAAGTTCATATCATTGTATAAATTTGTGTTATAAACCCAAGTACAGAACTGTGGTTTGATAAAATGTATTATGCATTACCAGCCCAAGGAAAAGATTGTAGGATCAAAAGATAATCACACAGTAACAAAGTATACCAATAGACAATACATTGTTGTTAATAACATTTTGAATGTATTATACTTTATACAGGAAACATTGACAAGATTAATATATTTTTTAGGCATTTCTATATAGTTCATGCTACAAGATATTTGGTGTGGAAATCGATAAAACATTTTTTGACATTCAACAGAAGTTTTTAGAAAAATATAATATGTCTGAGCGGATTCAGGTAATGTCTTTATACACCAACAAGAAATTTTTTATGAGCCACACGTTTCAACAGGTTTTAATGAAATTTGGTGCGATCAGTTTTTTTTTTAGTTATTTCTCTTGAATTAGTTCTGTTAGTATTTTGAGCACAAAATAAGCTTCTGTTTTCAATCCATTTTGATGAAACTCTGTGTCATGAGTCATAAGTGAAATTTATATGATGTCGGAAAATTTCAATTCAGACAATTTTTTTTTTTTTTTAGCTATTTCGGACTCATTGGCCTTGAGTTTGAGGTATGATCACTGAAACTAATAAAATGTTACAAAAAATAAAATTTGATGAATTGGCACGTAACTATTTTGAGTTATCACCTTTTACTTAATTAAAAAGCATCAAATCAAAATAGATGCTAAAGGTTATGAGCAATTCAAATCAAACCTGGTATGATTATTGACATTTTGAATTTGATGATTTCTTCTTTAAACTATTTTGAAGTTATTGCTCTTAACTTGAGTTATTGTCAATTATTGCTTTTACTGTATCCAAATTTTTAACAAAGCTGCTGTATGGGCATATGATTACCTTGTCTGGCAAGCTCTATTTTGATACTCCATTTTGATCCTATTGTCCATTTTATACTTGTTAAAACAAAACGTGGGACTTGTATGAGCAAAAAGTAGAATTTGTAGAAAGTAGACATTGGACATGTATCCTTGAAATATATCAAAAAATGCATGAAGATAATGTCAGTTACCAAGTTTTCTTTAAACTTGCTCCAAATCTACTATCTACTTCCTTGAATTCTAATCATCTTTTTTAAAATGTCTTTGAAATCCATACAGGCCTACATAGGTTGCATAGCAACTTAACATTTGAACTTCTCTCTAAAAAAAACCCATATAGCAGTGAAAATTGCCCTCTTTTCAAATCTATCTTTGTTATGCCACAATTTGATCTGAATTTGTTGAAACTTGGTATGAATATCAGATGAGTTGGATATTTGCTCATTGTCGATATATGACTTGTGAACACAAGAGAGACTATAGTTTTGACTACAGGTTACGAAATTAATTATAATGAATGAGACTTTAGATCTGTTATCTATTTTTTTTACCAATTCAGGTTTTCAATGATGATATTATCAATAAAGGTGACATCCTGAAAGCTGGTGAGTAAATTATTTGTTTATCACGTATTATAATTACCACTTCACACAGAATCAGCAATTTCTCAGTAAAATTACTGTTATTTGGCTATTTTGAATAACCAATACATAGTAGGGATGAAGGTTGGTTGTGCGACCAGTTATTCCTTATCATCAGTGGTTTCGTTAGTGGTTGATTTTTATTGGGCTTACCAGAGTTGATCAGCTGGTGTCCGCACACATATGCTATATGTCCTTACTTTACGTCATCATTAAATTATATATAGCACTCATGTACCCTTTCTAGTTTCTGTCTAAATTTTTAGACTCTTTCATCTCATTTCTTGTTATTCTTTTATGTATCTGTGACCTATATCTTTTTATACGCCCACATTATAATGTGGTCGTATCTTGTCGTCGCCCCCGTCCGTCCTTCTGTCCACAATTGGCTTGTGAACGCAATAGAGACAACAGTTTTCATCTGATTTCAATGAAATTTGATGTGAATATTTATAATGATGAGATTATGGACAAGTTCGAATTTGATGATCTTTCGATGAACGGTTTTTGAGTTATTGCCCTTGACTGATGAAAAACATGTCAAAATTTGTTTGTGAACACAATAGAGAATACAGTTTTCATCCAATTTAAATGAAATTTGGTGTGAGTATCTATAATGATGAGATCTTGGACAGGTTTGAATTTGGCTATCTTTCGATGAACGGTTTTTGAGTTATTGCCCTTGACTTATGAAAAACGCGTCAAAATTTGGTCGTGAATATAATAGAGACTACAGTTTTCATTTAATTTCAATGAAATTTGATGTGAATATTTATAATGATGAGATTATGGACAAATTCGAATTTGATGATCTTTCGATCTTTCTGCCCTTGACTTATGAAAAACATGTCAAAATTTGTTTGTGAACACATTAGAGAATATAGTTTTCATCCAATTTAAATGAAATTTGGTGTGAATATTTATAATGATGAGATCTTGGTCAAGTTTGGAGTTGGCTATCTTTCGATGAACGGTTTTTGAGTTATTGCCCTTGACTTATGAAAAATGCGTCAAAATTTGGTTGTGAACACAATAGAGAGTACAGTTTTTATCTGATTTAAATGATATTTAGTATGATCATTTATAATGATGAGAATGATCTTAGTCAAGATTAAATTTGACAAATTTTCGATCAACAGAATTGGAGTCATTGCCCATGACTTAGTAAGAACGCATCAAAATTTGTTAACGATAGAGGTGACAGTTTATGTCAGAATTTTATTAAATGATGTGTGTTTGTTTAGTCAACAATATCTTGCACAAATTAGATTTTTGGTATGATTTGACACAGATAGGTGACCGCCCTTGATATACTAAAGATGTATCAGGAAAGTGGGCGTATCTTGCTAGACAACCACTTGTTAGTTTATTATCTCCCTTGAAAAATATTTTCTTGTTCATCTAACTAAGCTGAATGTGCCATTTTTTCTCAGATTAGTGTTCTTCAAAGAGATAGCACCTTTCTCGCATGCTTTTGATTTTTTTTTTTTTTTTGGCTTGATAATAGGATTAGTCCCGAAAGTAGCCACATTTACTCTTTTTGTATAAATTTTTTACCTACTGTATCAGAAATCTTATAACTTCAACAAGGGCTCAACTCACAGCACGTGTTTGCTTAGCAGTCAAAAGTCCAACTTGTTACAGACTGAGCTATTCCACGTAGATATCAGGTGGAGTTGTATAGAAGAAGAAAATTTATTTGAAATGGTGAAAAGACAGGATGCTGAGATAAATCAATGTAGGATCCAGCCCCGTCGTTAGGGTGGGCCGATGGGGGTTGGGCCCCAGCAAGTGAGAATTAAACCCCAGCAAAACTTTTTTCAGTTCAGTTTTGATACGTTTTTGCCACCTCAAAATTGTCACATATGGGTTCTCTGGGAATTAAGTTCCTCAAATTTTCTGAGTACAAAATCTAGGCTCCAGCACCAATTCTTTAATTTGATATTAAACTTTAAATTTTACAACCTTTTTCAGCCGATGTTGTTATAATGAATAATGTGTTTGAGTTTTTTATGGATAAATCTGCTCAAGAAAAGTAAGTTAATTCATTACATTAAAAAAATGAAAGAATTTATTGTCATGGGTCTACCACCAGTTGTCAAAACGGACAGGTTCGCCATTTTAGGAGGATATTTTGAATATATGTAAATAATCTTCAGAAGTACTGGAAATATACTAAAATCGCATAATTCCTTCAAAAATATCTCATACTAGGAATTTCTTTTCCATTTTCTATAATTGTATTTCTATGTATGGCAGTGTCTCAAGAAACTTGTCTCTTTTTAACTTTTGAACGCTGATAATTCTAGACACACATGGATTTGAAATGAAATGAAATGAGTTTTACATCCTCCTTTTCCACATGGAAAATTTGAATGGCTCAAATTTCGCCGGTGAGCTGTGAACACTATTACTGATTGGCTAAGCTAAAAAATTCTTGTCTCTGAGACTAAAGTACCTTTGGTAAAAAAAATGGCCAAACAAAAAGGGGTTTAAAAAGTAAGAGTGTATTATCATGCAAAGATTATTATGCACCTCTTGGTGTGAATTAATACATGTACACAAGCTATTAGTAGTAAGATTGTTTTAGGGGAATTGGATTAATAGGAAATGACACATGTGGAAAGAGTGAAGTTTACATTTCCCAATTCATTTCCCAATCTCACTCCTCCATTTTCTTTAACAATATTGATCCAGTTTGTGAGCTATTACAACGTGAATACAATATTACTTTTTAATTTTTAATATATTGACTGAAATGTGACATTGACCTTCTTTCTATTGCACTTGACCTAAGAAAAGATGATTTTGACTAAAATAGATTTGTCTGTGACTAATCAATATTTTTATTTGAATGGCCTTTAAAGGACCAGAAATTTAAATCTAATAAAACCTTCAGAATGTATGAAAATCAGAACAAGTCTTAGACAAAACACAACAATAATCTTATCAACTAGAAAATCTGTCTTACAGCAAAATTTACTCTCATTTTTTCTTAACAAGAAAACATAATATCCACTCGCTCTTATGTAACTTCTGCAATTGTCAATATTCTTATTGATGGCCTATACACGTAAACACATATTGGCATATGGCAGCAGTCAGTTCTACTTTATACCCAGTATCTTGAATCCTCGGCCGAAGGCGGACCCCCTCGACCATTCCGCCAGGTCATTTGAGACTTGATATTTGCCACAGTGGGATTGCTAAACATTTTGAAAAAGAACAAGATTTTTTTATTGTTTCGATTCGTCATACGTATTAAAAACATTCCAACTTTTTATTGCAGCCTGCATCAGAAAAACGTGCTTTTCAATTTGCGAATATCAAGTCTTAAGTGGCCTGGCGGGATGGCAGAGGTGGTCCGTCTTAGGCGGAGGATTCAAGACACCGCTTTATACCTATATCAAATATTGCTGTGATGGAACATGTTATCAAGCAGTCATTATGAAATAGCTTTATATTTTTCAGACTGATATAGTTGTTGATACTTGGGTATCCTGTATCAATGATAGTCAAAAATATAATTTAGCTAATGAGTATTTATATGGTGAGGAGTTGGAGGAATCTGATTTAGATCAAGTATATATATATGAGGTTATAGGATAATAAAATTGTTGTATTATATCAAGTTTAACTGTTGTTTCATTTTATAGAATATAATCGGGTTTAAATATATGTCAAGCAAATTGTAGACTTGAACACTCTGGTTTCCAATCCTTTCCTCTTTGATCGTGGGTCCAATATTAAAATCTCATTACAATAAAGCTGTCCTGATGAGTATTGTTTATCAGAACACATGGCTGCAGCATGAGGTAAGCTCTAGTCAATTATCATTGTGTCCAAACCACACCCCAATTCATCTAACTTCCTCAGGGCCGTGGTAACACAAGTGAGAAAAATTACGTATTCATACCTTATTATTGTCCAATCAAATTTGGCCCCACTGCACATGTAAGCAAATTTCAGCCAATCAAAACAAATCACTTGTTATGACGCTTTGTTTGCGAACGTAAAAAAATGAAAGCAGCGTGCTTTGATGACTATGTACGGTACAGAATTGAGTAAGATTTTCGTTAAAGAATTGAAGCAGAGAGAAAACCAAACCTTACCTGGGAATATTTACTTGGAAAGAATGTGTCTCTTAAAACGGGCGTGTTGTTTTGTTTACATGACAGTGGGCTTAGTTTTATACGGGTTAATAAGACCATGTCAAAACCCGTATCACAGATATGATGGTCAATTATATATGAGTTTTAGTTTGTTGATGTTTAATACTCTAGAATATTCTTATTGTTAATATCATACTTCTGTTCAGTGACTTTGCTCACACATTTTAAGTCAAATTTGTGAAAATAAGCACTCCATTTCCAATAAAGTTGCCCTGATGAGGATTGATAAAAATGATCATGAAGAAGACACTTTACTATAAGAAACAATGAAAACTTGTAACAGTTGATAGAAGTACATTATCTATTATCTTTAGGGAATGCTAATTCTCTTTAGGAAAAGAGCTATATAATTTATTTGACAGCATTCAAAAGTATTATGTGTCTTCCCTTGTTTCTTGTAGTAGCATGTGTCTTCCCTTGTTTTATGTAGTAGTATGTGTCTTCCCTTGTTTCTTTTAGTAGTAAGTGTCTTCCCTTGTTTCATGTACATGTAGTAGTATGTGTCTTCCCTTGTGTCTTATAGTAGCATGTGTCTTCCCTTGTTTCATGTAGTAGTATGTATCTTCCCTTGTTTCATGTAGCAGTATGTGTCTTCCCTTGTTTCATGTACATGTAGTAGTATGTGCCTTCCCTAGTTTCATGTAGTAGTATGTGTCTTCCCTTGTTTCATGTAGTAGTATGTGTCTTCCCTTGTTTCATGTAGTAGTATGTGTCTTCCCTTGTTTCATGTAGTAGTATGTGTCTTCCCTTGTTTCATGTAGTAGTATGTGTCTTCCCTTGTTTCATGTAGTAGTATGTGCCTTCCCTAGTTTCATGTAGTAGTATGTGTCTTCCCTTGTTTCATGTAGTAGTATGTGTCTTCCCTTGTTTCATGTAGTAGTATGTGTCTTCCCTTGTTTCATGTAGTAGTATGTGTCTTCCCGAGTTTCATGAAGTAGTATGTGTCGTCCCTTGTTTCATGTAGTAGCATGTGTCTTTCCTATTTTCATATAGTAGCATGTGTCTTACCTTATGTCATTTAGAAGTATGTGTCTTCCCTTATTTCATGTAAAAGTGTCTAAATTGTTTCAATTAGGTTAGTGTATGGATAGGCCTATTTTCTTAAATCAAATCTACCATTAAATTTGATCATCCAACCATCAGTTAAGTTACAAAGAAGCCAAAGAGCTTAATTCAACAGGATTATTTTCACACAATATTCTAGTACAAAGGATCTAATTGGTAAGATCAGTTTGGAGGATCAAGTGTTAGCTGTTCTTGCTGTTCTGTTGGTCAATTCTGCCTCAAGCAAAACTTTTTTTGAATATGCTTTAAATTAGTAAGATCTTTTCTGATTCTATGAGCAAACATATCTTTAAATTATTTACAGAATTATAAAGTATGCATCAGTATAGATGTCAATGCCCCCTTTAGTCATTGTTGACCTTTGACCACTGAAGTGAAAGAGCAGCTGAAAGGGAGAAGTGCTCTATTTTGAAAGTTAAAAAGACAAGTGGTTTTTTTTTTTTATGAGACACTGTCATATTTAGAAAAGACATAATATAGAAATAAGAAAAGAAATTCCTAGTTTGAGATATTTTTGAATGAATTGTGTGATTTTCGTACATTTCTAGTACTTCTGAAGGCTATTTACACATATTCCAGACTCAAAACAACCCCTGAAAATGACTGACCTGTCCTTCTAATATTTGACAGAATTCCACTTATGTGATTAATTTTAGTGCATGACCTAGTACTAGCTGATGTCACACACATCATTACACTGCCTGGCATTGATATTCAATACTTAAGTTTCAAAACATGTGCTGCACATTCTAATTAGGTCAAAACACAATCTATGCCTTCCTTAATATCATCCCAAGTATTTCATAATATGAGGATAGCTTGCCAGGCAAGGTAAAGTATGCCCAATGGCAGCTGTCAGAATGAAAATTGAGTCATTAGTGACTAAAATATGAACTTTCTCATATGAAAAGATATTCATAAATATATATCTGTTATATCTAACTATATGTTAGTTGTTTTGCCGAGGTTTTCACAATATTTTTCAAAATTGAAATTAATTACTCAAATACATCAAATCAAATTGTCAAATCACTCTGCACTGATGTCTTAAATCTTTAAAGATAGTCTTAAATCTTTAAAGATATTTTATCAGTCAAGGACAACAACTCTAAAACTATTTATTGAAAAATCATCAAATTCAAACTAGACCAAGACCACCTCAATGTAAACCAGACCCAATTTCATTCAAATCAGATAAAAACTGTAGTGTCTTTTGTGTTCACAAAGAAATTTTGACGTGTTTTATCCAAGTTAAGGACAAAAACTCAAAATTGTCAAATTATAATCAGTGCAAGATCTCATCAAAAAATGATCAAATTTCATTTAAAACTGTTGTCTATATTGTGATCACAAACAAATTTTGACACATTTTCAAGTCCAGGGCAATTACTCAAAAACCATTTATCGAAATCAATCAATCCCAAGATTTCAACAATATAAATGATCACACCAAATTTCATTAAAATCAGTTTTAAACTGTAGTCACTATTGTGTTCAGAAGAAATGTTGATGGACCATGTGGGCGTATAAACATGCATGAAATTGTTAGAGTAAACTGAAGTCAAGTGAAGTCAGAGTTCAGCAGCTCAGACGACTTTAAGTCCATGTACTGAGATATACGAAAAAAATGTATATCATACATGAAAGAAACTTGTATAGTATGATTGATGTGTTTTCATGGTTTAAGGATTCAAAACAGGGTTTCTAGCCTGATGTGTGTGTTAGGAAGAAGCTTACGTTTGCATATTTTTGTTTGCCAATGTATATGCTATTTGTAATGTAGAAAAATGAACAACACTATTACAAATACCATTTAGCTTGAATTATACTTGCCAAGTCAAATATCTGGTCAGTCTTTCTAGGCATCTAAGAAACCACATACATTTGAGAAATCAGAATGAACAAACAGAAGCTATATGTGTGTATTGTACGGCACTATGTGTAATGCTAGTCATACAGCATACTTGAGAAAAATGTTTCGTTTCATGGTGTATTAATATATATATATAGTACTGTGAGTTGGTAATAATGTACACAAGTGAAGTTGTACAAAACCGATATATTGGCGTGCATCATTTGAACCCAATAAATCTTGTAACTTTAATGTTGTTGGTTTAATCCTGAGTATTCATGATATGAGAATACTACAATGTGGCTACATTTCAATCCTATTCAGTTGACCTCTGACAGCTTGTTTTATAACATAATAATACAACCAAATCAGTCAAAGGGAAGAAGCCTTAAAGTGCTGTGGATTTAATGGGTACAGGACTAATATTTACATGTAGTTATTGCATTCATTCTATATTACACTCATTCAAATATTATGGATGAAAAAAATATCCTTTTATTCTAATCAATACTTGTTAAAGTGATAATAAAACAGTTTGAGCATTAAATTAATAGCAAAGATTGCACATATTTACAATTTAATATCTTTAAAAACATGTGAAGAACAATAGAATTTTGAAAAAAACTCAGGCATACAAATAGAATCAATCCATATTTGACTAGTTGAACAATCAATCACACTAAAGATTAATTACAAGCATACCATGAAAAATGTGCACGTTTGAATCAATATAAATAGGTGTAGGTAATGATATAATAAAAGAATGCTAGGTAACAATGTAAACTAGATCTTAGAAGAGAAAGATAACACTTCTACCCTTTTAAACTTATTCAAATATCTATGAAGATACCGTTTACAAGAAAATTGTAGCTTACATAAAATGGTTTGCATAAAACAATTCATTTTAAAAGATAATGTACACAATTTTTTTTTTTAAATCTTTAAAACAAAGTTTACAAAAAATTAATTATCATAGATGATTGCAATTATTTTGAAAATTAAAACTGCAGTGTACATTCAAAAGGTACATTGCTCGAAATTTAACATAGAACTAAACTTAAATAATACTACTGGTTAACTGTTTATAATTATGCTAAGATAAATAGAAAGTGAAATTCAAGTAGACCAGAATAGATAATCAATGTGAATTTAAAAGGATTATCATTTAAAAAGTGCTGTCATGCACAATGTGATTTATTAAGCAGTGGCTTTTCAATTTGAAAATGGAAGAAAGCTAGAAAGCTAAAGGTCATTAAAATAGCAACTGCTAAGATTGCTGATTGTGACTATAAGACAAAAAGTTCATAAATAACAGTATTTTTATATATTCCAGATCAGATTGACTAAGATCAAATTATCTGAAGATGGTAACAAAGAAATAATTCTTAAGGGAACAGGGTTTTATCTGTGATTTATTCATTTAGTATATTGCTTTAAGGTTTTTTTTACAAACACAGTTAAATGAAATTACTATATTCCTTCATTATCTTCTTCTGGACAAGAAAAAGTGTCTAGCAAGTACTATTATGTGTTTCATAATAGGCTGATCTACAATATTGTCTACTAACATTGCGAAAAAGGTTCAGAAATTGGCACCAATTGGCTATACATGGTGAAACATTAGGGTTCAACAAAGCAGAATATAATAATCATTAAACATGAAAAGGTTAACAGTCACAGTGTATCATTAGGTGCACCAGATGGTATAACCTTCAATAGAAAATAACATGTCAAAATAGCAACATGTAGTGCACAATGTAAAGCAGTATGAGATACTTTAATTTTAAAATTGCTTAATTACATCTACATGTACCTACAAGATTAATTAATTTCAAACAGGCATAAATCACTAAGAACTAGGTTTGATATTGCAGCTATCAAAATGATAAACTTTAAGATATAAGACATTTCAAATACAACTTTAGTATGGTTATCTTGATGAATGAAGCTGAGACTATAAAAAATAGCAACTTTTTGTAAATCACTTTGTTATTATGAATAATTAAAATTATGTGATTAGATTCAATCAAGTGTGAGAGGAAAGTGTATATTTTGAACTAAACCAAGAAATACCCTAGAAGGCATACATCTCAACTGCTATATCTACTGAGATTTTACCTACCAAAATGATATCTCTCCCAGTATCTAGGAAGATATCTTTTTGCATCATAGCTTAGATTACTAACTCATGGTTTATACCTACTTTAAATTCCTCAATAGTAAAGATAGCCCCTGCCCATTCTTTCAATATCTTGGCCTTTTATGAATCTACCAAGTTATATTTCAGTCAAATACCGAGGTATTGCTGTACATTGGCAGTAAGAGTACCTTAAATACATCTTTTTTTTCTATTAAAGAATCAAGAAACTTGAAAATTCAAAAAGTGTTAATTATTTAAGAAAAAATGTTAAGTGCAAAAACCTTGCTACCAGTACCTGTCCATAATACTATTTTGTGCAACATTGTGAAAGAAAAAAATAGCACAATCTTGAAACCATGTTATCCATCAATATTGTTTATCAGAAGTACATGTAGGCTATAATTATGTATTATATATTGTTAACTATTGTAGTCTTTTACCATGTCACATTATACAGACAGACTGCTGGAAATATCAATCTAATGAAATCAAACCTGAGATCAGAATATACAATACGGAGGGTTTAATTTAAATAAGGATTGTTATTGATTTTATGATAATGTGGTAATAAACACAGGTATAAATATTGTTGAATAATGATCAAACCAAACACCTACATGTACTCCGATTACAAAACATAACAATAAGTTTATATGATGATTTATGATATCAACAAAAATCGATGAAAAGAGAGCTGTTCCAAATATTGTAAACTGAACAAAATTGGATTTATCACAATAAAATGTTTGTGGAAAAATTCTATATATAAATCAACACACAATCTGCAAAAGAGCAAATATTTACAAAAACACAACAAAAACAAAAAAATTGCGAGGTTGCATCTTTTAGTAGCAAATGGAAAGACATGTATTTAAAGGTTTTTCATTATTAATATTATCACCATCTCTTGTTTTTTTTATCAGTATTACTCTTGTCCATCAATTCATTATGCTGCCAGGGTCAAATATTTCAATCCCTTATCATTTTATTTATCACCATTCAAAAAACACCATTATCTTTTTATATTATCTTATAGGACTATCACGTCCTTTGGAACGAAATATTTCCTTAATAGTGACAATGGGTTGTGGCAGACAAGCATCTAGTTCTTTTTATGATGCAACAACATCACTGTCAGGGTGTAATTCAACAGTTTTGGGATCTGAACTGACTGTAGCTGTTTCTGCAGCACTGAAATTATCACTTTGGGAGTTTTTGGAATCACCATCACTTGGTTTTGTTTTTGGATTTGAAGAGAAGCCATTCCCATCATCACTATTATTATCACTGGAATATGAACCATCATCTGATTTACCTTTATAATGACGATATGCTTTCTGTATAATTTTAGCAGCATAATGTTCTTTTTGTCTCATTAATGTACTACTGACTGGAGTATACTCTATTTTTTTACCCCGGTCTTCTACTGGTGGAGCATCAGCTGTTCCTAGAAAATTCTTGGTTAATGCATCCAGTATATCACGACAATACACTTTATCACCTTCACAGATAGGAATATCTAATTTCACCAGAATAAAATGGTTGGGTTTCGGTAACCTCAATGGTTCTTCCAAGAAATCAGCAAAGCTAGACAACTGATCTAAATTTATAAATTCAGAAGCTTTTGGATCATACTTCTCCCACTTTTCATAGTACATATCAAAATCATCTGGAGTCAAGCCTTGTTGGACATCTTCAGTGGCTTGACTAAAGTTTTCCAAGATAACAGCAATGTACATATTAACCACCACTAAAAAACTCATTATTAAATAGCTTACAAGATATAATGAAGCTTTCGTATATTCAAAACATGTTTCACCTGGATTGCACACTGATATTAAAGATTTCAAAACACCATCCCATCCAGCTGATGTACACATTTGAAATAATAAAATCAAACTACTGAGAAAAGTGTCAAAGTTAAAAGCATCATCCATACCATAGAGTTGAGGTGCTCTCATAAAGAAATTCATACCCATTATGCCATAAATGAATAAAACTAACATTAGCAATAGGCCTATATTAAACAATGCAGGCAAAGACACAGCCAGAGAAAAAAGTAATGTACGTATTCCTTTAGCTGATTTGACTAATCTCAAAACACGACCAACGCGAAAAACTCTTATTACACGAAGCAGCGTTGGTGAAACGAAGAAATTCTCCATAACACCTGCTAAAGATAAAGCTGAAAAAAAAAATTGATATGAATTATAGAAAGAATTATATATATAGCTGTCTAATGATACATTTTTAAAACCTTTTCTCATATACTGCAAATTTGCTCATCCTTTCAACATGTTTAGTACATGTTGAAAGGATGAGCAAATTTGCAGTTTAAACATACCATTCCTGAAACATTTTGAATGTTTTAAATAGAACAATTATTAATGTAAAAGGTTAAGCAGAATCATCACCATTTCTCAGTCTCATCTGTGCCATCTGCCTTCGATCAGAGGCCATACCAGAATGCACAATTCTTTTGACTATAAAAAATGGTACACATACAGGAATGTGATGCAGTAAATTTAATTACATCTCAGATTCTATAGAAAGGTGAAATTACTTACCTAAAACAGATAAAATTACAACAGCAAAGTCAAAAACATTCCAAGGAATTTTAAAATAGTGCAGTCGTAAACCAATAATTTTTAAAACACATTCAAGAGTAAATATTGCAATGAAAACAGTATTAACTATTGATAATGCTGATTCATAAGATTCATCCATTTTATAATGTTCCATTGTCATTGTCAACATATTAAACATTATAATTATCATTATCACAATATCAAACTTTTGATTAGTTGTAATATCAAACAATATTGATGCTATCTTTAACTGAAAAATATAAAAAAATATATTAATTATTGTGGATCTAGTCTGATTTGTATTACGCGTATAAAATCTAGAGATGTGCATATTGAACGCACTCTGAACAAAGTTTTATTAATTGAGGCCCTTTAAGGGCGTGCTCACCCATATTTAACACTTGATGACATGTCGTAACGTTGTTTGCCAACTGTGCCTCTCTTTCAGAGAGTCCGCATAGTTTATATTGCTATATTTATTACAATATGAGCTCAGCTTTGAGAGTTGAGAGATCAGTATAACTAAACTTAAAGTTTACATGTCAAGTAAATCTGTGTAAGTTTTGGTACATGTATGATATATTAAATACTAACTTTAGGTCTTGGAATAGATTTCTGTGGGGTTTTAGAGCCCATTCTTTTCATAGCATTATAGTATTTCTTCTGATCATCAGTCATAAACATTTCAAGTGATCCGCCAGCCTAAAATAGAATATAAAGTGTTAATAGCTGGATGGTTGATGGTATGATCTTAATGAAACATGCATGATATTGATCCTAGATGACTCATGAAAAGCACTAAGCTGTAAGGAAGCATAGAAGAACTGTAATGCCAGAGTAGGAGAATTGTCTACAGGCGCTTATTTAACATGTATTCCATGCAAAGGGTAGAAATAAAATTAATTTCGGAATTGATTTAATGATTGTATTATAATTTTACATAATATCTGAAAAACTTGACTTTGTAAATAATTTCAATATTTTGTCAAATAAGTATATTTCACCAAGAGTCTACAGTTCCTAATTGTCAAAATATGTTCACAAGGCCATTAGTAAAATCAGTTACGTAATGAAAGTAATTCAAGATAAATGCAAAAATTATTGAAAAAAGATTTTTAAAAGAGGGTACAATTTACAGTGTCATATCAATAAAATAGTTCAGGAAATAAAATAATCCTTGTTGATTGAAAATTAAATCATTGTGTCATTTGTAGAATATAAATTCAAAATAGTTACTTCTAGATCAGCTCTAAATTACTTATAAGTAGTCTATACAAATTAATATGGTGTTTTAAAAGTTGATGCAAAAGTAGTATGTTTAAACTAATAAGTAAGAGTAACAAACAAGACTAGGACAAGCAAGATAGAAGGAAGCTAAAAGAATAGATGATCACCAATAAGGTTCTATGAAAATCTATAAACTACAATATGTAGGAAAAGAGAAGTTCTCTAAAAGCAATGGAATATGTGTTCTACTTTGATCAAGACCAGATAATTGTGCAATTAATTCAATATTTGTAACTTTCTGATGACTTGTCAAAAATTTTGAAAGGTAGCACCTTTATCTGGTCTTGAAGTTATGTTCAATGATTGAGCTCTGTACATGTATGAATATATTGCCATCACAGGACAGAAATTTATATCTGATCCATTGATTTTAACTTATATGAAACATCATGTATGAAAAAACTGATAAGTTCAGTGGTAGAAAGAGAAATCTATTCATGTTTATATTTTGAACAAGGTTGAAGAAATGATTGTATTGTCCAGCAACTCAATGAATGTATCATGTGTTCAAGGTGACAAATACAAACAGATCAACATCTGTACAATTTGAAGTACAAAACATTGATTATTTCATATAACTCTCACTTAGACTAGAAAACATTCCAAATGAAATTTCACTATTTCTTAATGTTATGAATCCATAAGATCTATCCTAGTTTTTTTTAATCTGGATTGTTTTCTATCTAACTAGTGTTTTATTTTGCTTTTCAGACAGAATTCTATTTGTAAGTAATATGGAAGATGTTTATAAGAATGAGGCATTTTCTGTATGAAGAGCAAAATGATTTAAACTGGAAAAAAATATATTTCATTAGTTTCATAATATATCATCAGGATATCATTTTCTATAAACGCACTGAAAAATAAATTGGTCTAGAGGAACTTCGAGGAAAATTTGGGAATATGTTTTTTTTCTTACTTATTAATCCTAGCAAACTTCATCATAACTAGTGAACTTCATCATAACCTAGCGAACTTCATCATAACCTAGCAAACTTCATCATAACCTAGCAAACTTCATCATAACCTAGCAAACTTCATCATAACCTAGCAAACTTCATCATAACCTATCAGCAGTTTGGTTTCTAATTTTAAGAGATCATGCTTTATCATGCATTTAAAACTCATTTCTTATTCAAAATTAAATTTTAACCCTTAAAAATTTTAAAGAAAGTTTTAAAAATTTAACAGAAAATTTTAAAAATCTAGCCAGCTATTCTAACCCATGCTATCCAAGATTCACCGATATAAGTGCGATTGTTTCAGTTTATCTTACATTAAACTTTCATAGTTTTAAGAAAAAAAGTGCTTGATTTAAAACACAATGTACAAGAAAATAGTAAAAAAAGAATTGTTTCACTTACAGAAGGCTATGCTTCATTTTCATAAAGATATGGTGCTTTTACGTCTAATATTCAAAATTTCCCAAAATGCTACGTTAAGTTTAGAAAAATGTGTTTCTATAGTGAAATGTCAATATACGAGAAAGAAAGAAGTTCTGAAGATAACTTTGTAATTTGAGGGAATCCTATGCCTGCCCTGAGCTCAGTTTTCTGCCTTTTCAAAACAGTTTTCATAAAACATTTTGTTACACAAGTCACAAATTGCATGCCAATATTTGAAATGGTGTAACAAAGTATGTAAAACAAATAAAATATCAATGCATTGACAACTGAGTGCAGGGTTGATTTTTTGCATGAAAAATATATCTAATGAGTTGTTTAAATGAATTTAGTCTTGAATGAAAATAAGTTTTAAATGGTGTGATGACAGTTAATCAAATCACTAAATTTAAAATATTTCCATTATGAATTATTCCAAAATAATATCTTCAGTATCTTCAATATTGACAGAGGGTGGAATTAAAAGAACTCTACTTTAAAATTAAGATTAAAAATCAAGTGCGTTAAAAGTTGCTTAGAATCCTGATGATTTATTACCTCGTCACCCACCTTTTTCTTCTGTTGATTGAAATTTTCGATGATAACACCAATAAATAAATTGAGGGTAAAAAAGGAGCCAAAGATAATAAATAAAACGAAGAATAAATAATAAAGTATATTGGCTTCATCTGAGGGTTGTTCATATTCCTGTAAATATAAATAAACAATGTTAATCACAGGGAACTTTTTAGCCTCACAACCATGCGAATATTTTATCATCATTGCTGTAATACAATGTAATACAAAATAACTCTTTATCTTTAGATTCTTAAAGTTATTGTGTAATACAAAATCTGAAAAGAAAATAGCAAAGCATTACACATCTGATATCAAGTTCTTACTTAAGGAAATAAATCTGATATAGTGTTGTTTAGATGAATGTTAGATTTACTTTGATTGAATAAACCATGTACCACAAAATCCAAACAACATATTGGCAAAACATTAGTAGCAGCTAATGAACTTTTCATGGGAAGAAGTATATCAATCGTAAGTGAGTAAGTATTTCATAATAAAAAGTGGTATCAGGTGTCTAGAAGAGTAAGCATACACTGACTGACATGACACCCGTCATAGCTGCTCCACATGTATATTTTCTATATCTGAAAATGATAAAAATTTTGAGAAGTATTATGCAATGATGATAAAATATTGGTAGGATGTTTGAGGTGAATGAGTTTTTATACTTACAATTATCCTTGGCAAACTAGTTCATCATGCAACAACAATTTATACAAAAACAGAACAAATTAGTAATATTATACATTTATATCAAATTTTATAAAACATTTTATTTATACTGTTCCTTATGATTGTCAGTCCAGTCACATAATGTTAACACTAAATGCTTTAGATTTCATTCTTCTCTCATAGCTGTGGAAATAGGTTAATGTCCATACTCAGTGTTCACCTTTAATTGACTTTTTATCTATTAAATTCAATTTGAAATGTATGGTACATAAATTTGAATCTATAAGGGGTTTCCGCTTTATTGTAAAAAGTTTTCATTATCAATAACGTTGTAAATTATATCTGAAAATATTTCTAAAGTATGCTATTTATATCTATGTATCTTCTCATCAAAATTAATTTGTTTTAAAAGGGTTGTTTAAACACAGAGAGTACTAATTGTTAATTGAGCAGTTTAACCTAGTTTTAGTGTTTGACTTTATAATGGCTCGATATCATTAGTTGAAAACTTTAGAATATTTAAGAGAAATATTTTTATACGCCCACATGAAATGGAGGGCGTATATTGCCATCACCCATGTCCGTCGGCCCTTTCGTCCGTCGGTCTGTCCAAAATTGCTCGTAAACACTCTACAAGACACAATTCTTGACGGATTTTGACAAAGCTTGGTATGAGTGTTCGAAATCACCCAAGGATAAACCCTATTGAAAATCCGAAGAATCTAAAAATATTTAGTATAAGTTATTGCCCTTGTTCTTGAAAACGCGTTCAATTTTTAGCTCGTAAACACTCTAGTAGGTACAATTCTTGATGGACTTTAACGAAACTTGGCATGAGTGTTCGTAATCACCCAAGGATGAACCCTATTGAAAATCAGAAGAATTGTAAACTATTTAGTATGAGTTATTGCCCTTTTTTCTTTTGCTCGTAAACACTCTAGAAGGCACAGTTCTTGATGGATTTTGACGAATCTTGGTGTGAGTGTTCATAATCACCCAAGGAAGAACCCTATTGAAAATCAGAAGAATTGAAAAATATTTAGTATGAGTTATAGCCCTTGTTCTTGAAAATGAATTCAAGTTTTAGCTTGTAAACACTCTAGAAGGACAGATTTTGACGAAACTTGGTGTGAACTGAAAATTATTTAGTATGAGTTATTGCCCTTGCTCTTTCATATTTTTATTTAAAAATCAAAGATGCCAGTGGGCGTATATTACCTTGCCTGGCAAGCTATCTTTCTACAATTATGCGTTTATTTTACTCAAATCCGTACAGTAGTTTTCTAACAGCTTCAAAAAGCGTAACGAAAAGTAAAAACGCTACGTAATGTGTTTTAAATATTTTTGGCATTAAAAAATTTACGACTTGATTTTTCTTTCAGATATGTTAATAGGATACAATTCTCTAGATTTTGGTGTATAGTTTTCACAAATTTGAGCAAAACAATTTTTCAACCTACAAAAAATGGAACGTCCCTTTAACAAAATACTACATATTTGGCCGATTGACAAAAGAAATTAATTCATTTTCATCTGTGATAATCTTACCCCTCTACTGTCAATGGCATCATTCATAATATCAACCCATCCTTTATAAGTTGCCTGAAAAAATAAAGATGAAGTCTAAGTTGATAAAATAAGCAGTTTCCGACTAATAGCCCTTGACTTAGTAAGAGCCCTAGGAGCTTAAGTATTTATTCTTTCTCTTTAACTTCTGATTTTTAAGAAATAAAAACATCTTAAATGGATTGTGCCTCTGAAACTTTGCATAATTTTTTGAAAACCTAATTAATACTACAAGAGTCTTATTACTGTAGATAATTCTTGTCGTCAACTTCCCATTCCTGTCTAATGAGTTTGCATACTTAACCTCATTTCAATTAAGGCTGTCCTACAGAAGATTTTCTGAAACACTTGTCAACAGTATAAAATTTGAAGATACAGAATCTGGTTGCAATCAGCTTTATGCATTGAACATTGTTTAATATGCAGAACAGCCCTATTCAAAGTATATCTTTTTCCATATTTCAGTAATAGATTATAATTATAAATACAGGCAATGGTTTTTTTTTAACCAAGAGATAATAACTATCACAAGTTGTATTATTATCTGCATAAAAAGAAGAATGAAGATAAAGATGAACTTGTCACAATACATTTAGAAGACTAACTTACCACTTGAAACAAGGCTAGATACGCATTGATCACATTATCAAAATTCACTTGGGAGTTGGTCCAATTATATCCTTTAGCAAAACATTCACTTTGATTCTTGACCACAGATCTATTTAGTCTGTCCCCATTCTCATCAACACATTTATGGAATTTTCCAGAGAACAACTGAACACCGACAATTCCAAAAATCAGCCAAAATACTAGACACACCACTAGTACATTACAGATAGAAGGTATAGCTTTGATTAAAGCATTAACCACAACCTGAAAATAAGCAATAATACATATTTCTAAGACATCGTCTAAGATGTGTGATTTAGAGAGCTATGAAAAATTATTTGTGATTTACATTTAATAAATTTGGCTTTTACCCTTTCCAAAACAAATTAAGTGTCATAATGCTCTCTATATGTAATGTCACCAAACTCATTGTACCTTTCATTGAACGATAATAGGCTATAATTTATTCAACTTATTCTTAAAGTTGAGGCTTGTCGCACCTGCTATATTAATTTACATCTTCCATATCAATGAATAAATGATTTTGTCCCCACGGACTGAATGTTAGACTGAACCATGTCCTTGTGTATTGGGCGTAATTCGGACCCATGTAAAATAAAGAGTTTTTAATTATTAAAGATAAAAAGTCAAAACCTCTTCTACTTTCACTTTATATTAAATGGGGCAACCTTTGGTATTACTATGCATCTTCAGGCTAGGATAAAGACTTCCAAAATGAACAATGAATATACCATATGTGATGTAGTTATTAATGATAAATACAAATGTTATCTTGTATATGAATATAGGTTTAGGCTGGAAACTGCCTTCAAATTTCAAATTAACAGCCAAAGCAGCATTAATGGAAATTTATTCGAAGATATTTTACACAATCATGAGAAAATTTGACACATCTTAGATCACTAAATTGACAATAATCCATACTCATCAAACGATTTCACATGAGGCAAATCACAAAGATCTAATAAATATTTGACAAATCATGTTTCTCAAAATTCAAAATTTTGAAGGTGAATACAGACTTACTCTCATTCCTTCCCATCTTGAAACAGCACGTAGAGGTCTTAATGCTCTCAATGTTCTTAATGCTCTTATAGCACTAACATTACCGATTTCCCAACTTTCAGCTGCTAATATTACGATTGACAGCTAAAATAAAACAATGCCAATCAAATCAAAAATGTTATCTCTAAAATTCATTTACATGAAATACACTGAATAAAGACATTTTTATAATATTATTATTACTATTATTATTATCATTAAAAATACACTTACAGCTACAATGATGAAGTCAAGCCAACACCATGCATCAGTAAAATACACTTTAAAACCAAACGCAGCCCATTTAATCAACATTTCCACTATGAATATTGCAGTGAAACATTTATCCATGTAGTAAAGTATGGCCTTTAGAGTGGGTCTTTCATCAAGATGAACATCTTCTAGAGCCTAAAAAAAACATAAATAATTCAATATGATTTTATTTGTTTAATGGGACAGAGGCAAAATTGTCAAAAATGTAAATTTTACGTGAAGATGTTCCTAAAATATGCTATTTACATCTATATATCTTAATTAAACAGAATGTACTAGCTGTGAAAAATTTGAAGGATTTTAAAACTTTCAGAGAAATTAAGATACACAATTCTCTAGATTTTGGCATATAGTTTCATAAATTTGAGCAAACCTACAAAAAATAACAGTTCATGCCCACGAAGTCACCGCTTGGGTCTTAATTAACCATGTAAAAACCACAAACGGTGACTTCGTGAGAATGTTGTCAAAAAAATGGATTTTGAGAACAATAGGATTACAGGGTGTTATCATAGTACACTTAAGCCGATGTAATGGGGTTATAGCCAATAAACAATATTTTTCAAGTAATTCATTTATTTACAACATTTACTATTTCAGTTTTAACAAATATGATACAGAATCTGCAAACTCGTATACATTTAGTACGTTACTTCTACACTGTTCTATATTATTGCTAAGTTTTGATTCAAGTGTCTTGTATTATCGTTTTTTGTGGAGGTTGCTGCTAACCCGCCGCATACTGCACCATCCTGATTTCCATGGCATCTTGCTCTTCTTTCAAGAAATTAATGATTTTAAATATGTTGGGGTGGGCTTTTCCTACAAGTTTCTTTACACGGCTATGCCAGCCTTCTAAGTTGTTGTTAGTTCTTGGGGTGTCAGAACCATAATGGTTCCATTCATATAATCCATAAACAGCCTCCAACCATTGACTTGTAATGTAGTCTGTAAGTTCTACTAATCTGGGGTCGTCTGGCATATCACCCATGGCATTGATAAAAACATCCCCCACCATATCGTATGGAATCAATGGTTATACCAAAGATATCAAACAATGAGTGACACTGATAATTAGTCATGTTAATATGTGAACGATTGTCATGAATTTATGTCACCGTTAATGAGCTCTTAACACCTTTAATCCCGTAGCGGCATAACTGTAAATCATCAAAGAAAATAAAACGGTGACTTCGTGGGAATTTGTAATTTTCTAGCAGTTACTTCGTGGGAAGACACCAAAATAACACCATAATACTGCTTTAAACACAAGGATTAATATGGGTAAATTACTGGACGTATTAAAGGGAACAATAAGTAGCCCCCATCAATTTTTATAGATGAATTTAGAGCTAATCATATTTGTAGATTTATATTTGATATTGCAACTCATAGGCCTAGCTATCAGATATTAATTACTAGAAAAAGTCAAAAAGCTTGATATTTATCTAGAAGAAATATCCATCCTATCTTCTAAACTAATTATTAAGATACAATACTTACCAATGCTAGACTACTTGCTAGAATCATAACTATGATAAATGTTTCAAAATATCTGTGTTCAGTTAGCTTAAACATAAGGCAGCGAAATTTCCACCATAACTTTCCTACTCGGTTATTGTTCCAAACGTTGATACAGGCACATTTCTGATAACATATAGAACATAAACATGGATCAGGTTCCTTAACATAAACTATTTCCACTTCATTAACAGCTCCTTCTACCTCCACTTCTAATTTCACTTTACTTTTAGTTGATCCCACCAATGAACTGGTACTGGAACTTGAATTTGAAGATGAATCACAATCATCTTTCTTCAAAGAATTTTTACTTAAGCTTCTTTGAGTTATCTAAAATATAATTAATACCTGTAATTACTCTTGAAAGGAAACAGACACCTACATTAGCTGGCATGATCAGGATTTAAGTAGTCTTATTATACTTATATCCCCTACACACTTCAAAAGTAATTCGGTTATATCTAGTTCTATCCGAAAAACTTAGTTGCTTTCGCAATGGCATATGAAATTAATCAGTTATAACCAGAAGTTAACTAGATAGAAAAATCTACCTCCAGAGGTATCACAAGAGTAAACAAAAATAATGTGTATTAATATAAATACTTAAAAATCACAAGAAAGGGATTAATAAAGTACATGAATACAGATCAGAGACGAAAGGAACAAAAAATTGTTATCATATTCATATTACATGATGAATAAAATTATAGTTCAATTCCCTCAACTGTGACATGACATGTTACTAAAATTAAAAGGTTTGTAGATAACTTTGGCAGTGCAAAATCAGCTCTACAGATAGGATTGCAGTAACAAAGCAAACTGAACTGAATCAAATTTTTCTTATCGGTTAGAATTGAATTCAATAATCCAATTTATGCAATGTGAAAGGGGTATTTATTCCAATATTCCAACAAAATGGCTTTTAGTATTCGTAATGTTAATGATTAGAGGTGTTATTTTGTCTTATTGGGAACGTAAGGGCTATTTGCACCGACACGATGCATGTTCTCTATGGCTGCTAACCATGGTATGGATAAAATAAGACAATAGGCGCGCTAGTTTTGGGTTTTTTTAAAAGGTGAAACCATTTTGATTGTCAAGAATGATATTAAGTGACTTTGTTAGGGTAGGTAGAGATGGCCATATGTTTTTTTTTTAATACCTTGGAAAATGTTGCAACAGCAACTTATTGTTAGGAGTTAGTGAGTTTCCTGAGCTAGTTCAATGATTTACATAGCATCTCAGACAGATGTCGAATTTCCTGTGGTGGTTTAATTCACAAGCCTAATATATATAATGACAATTGTTTACTATATAACACAAATAACTTACATGTATATTTTCTTCACCATCACATGGACTTTTATCCTTAGCTGGAAAAATAGAATATAACATGAGACATGTGAGGTTCTATATCACAGTCGGTTTCTTATATGACGTCATTTGCTTGATTGCGTCGAGCAAATGGTGCCTGTGGGTGAAGTCATTTTCATTCATAATTTCAGCTTACCGAGCTATAATGGGTATTACGGATAATCTGTGAAAGATCAATGGCAATAGGTTAGGCCAAGTACTAGCTGGTAGAAAGGATCCTTAATTTTGAACCTAAATTTTTATTGCGAAATACAGTTGTTCCTGTCTTTTTTAATACTATGTTCTGTTGATGTAAATATTTTCCAGGCAACGTTCATTCTAAGAATCTGATATTTATTGCTTTGCCTTCGTTTGAATTTGTCTCCAGTTACATGGAGCAACTAAACTAAAAATTTGAAGATTAATTTCTCTTTAAAGAAATAAATTGAATACAAGAGTCTATGACAGGATTTACCTGTTATGGACAATCCATCTGTTAATGGTTCCTTGCCATTCATTTCAGGTCTGGAAGAACTTGGAGATAAAACTGTTGTAGCTGGCCGCTTTGTTTTTCTTCTTAATTTAATTTTCAGACAGACAATAATCTTAACTTTTATCCAGTTAAAGAAGCGATTGAACCTATCAAATGCTTCAGCTAGTTTATTTGGTTCATCATCTGTTTGTGATCTCTGTAAACTTTCCGTACCAAATGAACTCAATAGTAAGGCAAGAAATAGATTCAATACCTAAAACATGAAAGAAATGGGATACAATAAATATCTATTATTATGATATATACATAGTTCCATCTTTTCATGATATCACGGAAGATATAAATAAAGGAATATCCATTAATAACAATAATAATAACTGAAATCATCAATATAAGCCGATTGCTAGGACTGTGTTGTCAAGTAACTATAGGTTTCACAGATGTATAATATTAATAGTTTTTATTTAGCAAGAGTTAACATTATTAAGCGTATTAAAACTGTAAGCTATACTTACTACAAGGTTACCAATTACATAAGTTAATAAGAAGAATGGAACACATGCTGCACCAGAAACCATCATACATCCCCACATTGATTCAATCCATTCACCACACAATACACGAAATACGATCATAAATGCATGTAAAAATGTATTAAAATTCCATCGAGGCATTCCACCATATTGAGCATATTCTGGATCATTTTCGTACTTCTTATAATCTGAGGCAAACAATTGTTGACCCATCACAGCAAATATAAACACAACTATACCAAGTACAATGGTTAAATTTCCTAAAGCACCCATAGTTCTACCGACAATACTTATTAACATGTTCAGGGTTGGCCAGGATTTGGCCAATTTAAAAACTCGAAGCTGAAAAAAAAATTATCCATTATTATACACGTAAGATCAAAACTGTAATTCCCAATTCTAATGGTTATTGATTATTTGTTAACTTTCATAAAGTGACATATATTAGCAATTAAATTGGTAATGAATATGTCTCAGCATTACAAAAATCATCATTTATTGGTACTAAACTTTGTTTTTTTTTTATGGTATAACTATTTTAAAAAAGATATTATGTAGCCTATAATTGAGCAATGTTTATGATTCCATAATCGGATAAATACATAATAATATATACAAAGTACTGGTAGTTATTCACAAACACTGTCTTACAATTGAACATTTTTGAATAATTACATAGTTTTAAGGATTACTGATATATATGTACAATATTTAAGAGTTTAAGAATTTAAATTTTATGTTCATGTTAAAAAAATACCCAAAACATGTTTTAATGTGTAAAACATCCCAGATGATTAAAGCTATATGTGCTCAGATTAGATTCTGAAAATAGTATATAATATATACTGTATAATAGATGAAATATTATTTATTACCAATCTGAAAGCTCTCAACACAGACAATCCTGGTAAATCTTTCAAACCCAAATCTAACAAACTGAGTACAACAATTACAGCATCAAAACCATTCCAACCATCTCGGAAGTATGTTGCTGGACTTAATGCTAATATTTTCAAAAAGGCTTCAATAGCAAAGATTGCTGTAAACACCTGAAAAATGTATAAATTGATTACAATTATGAGGTTTCTGCTGCTTAAATTTCAAATAAATTTGATTTAATCAATTATCTCAAATTGGAAGAAGGATATATTATAACTGGTATATATGTATTTTGAAAATATCTATATCTATATCATTCTATAGTCTTAGTCTCTCTATTGACATTGATGCCCCATTTAAACAGAAATCAATGGATGAGAATTATGAACACATTTAATTCCCCATATTATAATAAAATATGGGTGTCTTTCATTTTAAATGATAACTGATTTGATTGATTTGGTGCATTCTGACAAACGTATAAAAATGAGATTTTTTAAATTTGTTAAAAATAAATTTGAGGTAACATTGAGTAAAATACTAAAACAAACTATAGTACTTACATAGTTAGCATTTGTTCCAGCATCTTTTAAATTTTGTGGCATTTCCCAGTATTCGATGGCCATAAACCCAGTATTTACAACAATACAAATAGTAATAAACAAATCAACAAAGGCATCCAAGATGAACAATCCCACAATTCTTTGAAAATGTTCACAGGATGGCAATCCTTCCCAAGAACAGAAATAACGGTATAATTTGTCTCGCATTCTTTCTTCTTGATTACTGACTTCACTCATAAAACCTACAAATTACAACAAAATATATCTATATAAGTTCCAATACTTTTATTTGGGTTCCAGCCCATTTTTAATTTTAAAAGCTAAACCTTTTTTTCTTATGCCTGTGTTTCATCAATTGAAGACAAATTTTGTAAGTACTTCACTGATGCTGTAGACATAATATGTTATATTGCCTTGCAACCCTCTTTTTCAGAAATGCCTAATAGGTCTCTTGCTTTCTATATACCTTATATGAGCACTAAATATAAGAAATACTTACTTCTACGATGCCCTGAGGCATGATCAATCAGCTCTTTTAAAACCATTACATCTGAAGAGAAATCAGTAATGTTAAATTCAACTTGTTTAATTTTGGGATCCCTCATTTGAATCATACAACAAGGAAAAGGATATTATCAGAAAATCATTTTACTTTGATTTGATTTGTTAATTGATTGGAACATCCTATTTAAGAGATGATAAGATATTGTTCTGTCTCTCTACTATTCTTATTTAATATGTAGTAGACCATATTCAGTAACCGTGTCTTAACTTTACAAAACATCAAAAATTTACTCCAATGAAATCAATTGACTTCACTAGTAACCATCTGGTTTTATTAAGTAAGCTTTATAGCTTAAATTTCGAAATATTAAAACAGAACCTAAAAAACATGTTGTTACTCAGTGTTTCATGTTATGTGATCTTCAGACATTTGACCTATATTAATATTTCTATATCGATCTATAATTGATGTATTGAGCACTATTTTAACAGTGAAAATATCTTTTTATTATAGCTTAGATGTACTATAAAAAACAAATTTACTTTTCATACTAAATGAAAAATAAACTCATTGATGTATTTCACATATTGAAGTGATCATCAAAATGAATGACAATTTTGGTTTGATATCTCCAAATGAATTCAAATATAAGATCTTACAATCATATTATATAAAACATATAAAACATAGTCTATCTTTTGAAAAGATATATGATATACTAACAATTATAATTAAACATGTTTAACAGAATTGATGACAATAATAGTTAATTACATGAATCTAGATTTCCAAATGTCTGGGATCAATAAAAGTGAGTAAAAGATTTGTTAAAAATGATGTTCTGCCAGATATAGCATTAGTCTGATTGTATAGTCTGTTAGATTTAACCAGAATTACTTCAATGAAATCATATTAAACCTATTTTGTACCAAGGTAGCAATAGAGTTTCCTATTCAAAAACCACTCTATCATAGTCTCTAACCTGCCCAACAAGCAGCAAAGAGGAATCCACAAAGCTTTAGAAATCCTGTGATAATGGACAATATATTTCAAAGATTTGGCTACTCTAAACAACACACCCGACCCCCTAACATTTAACCCTCTTATATCATCATCCTTTTGATTTTTTGTTATTTAATTCTCTTTATCTATTAATCTTCTAAATTTACAAACACAAGACAATATTATAGAATAAGTACATTTCTTTGATGAAATTATTAAACACATAAAATAACAACCACACATGTTAATTGTGTTGAAATTTTAAGTGTTTATTTTCATTAAAGAAAAAAAAGAAGTATGTCTATTCCATAATATTGTATAAAGTACCAAAGGAGAAACAGTATGACTATTGTAAGAAGTAAAATATAGTTGAAATATGCGTTACCTTTCATTTCAATGTTAGCAGCATTAGGAGAAGGACACAAGAATGCATTGCTTGCTGATAATTTACGCTTTTCAGGATCAACCTCAGATGCACTACTCAATGATACCTGTAAATACACATGAATTTTTACACCAGCTTTCCTAATATCATTGATTGAACTATTCAATTTGTGAACATTCAAAGATTAAATTTAATTAGATTAAAACAATGAAATTTAGTGGGTTTTTTTAGCCACAAAAAAACAGTGCATGAGGACAAAAGGTTTGTAGAATATTGCCAAATAGTTTGTATGTCATCAGTTTTAGAGATTAAGGTAACAAGTTACTATTCAACAGAAGGCACTGGCACTGGGTTAAAGATGTGTTCATTAATGTTAAAGCTAGTATTAAAAGAAGTATAATACAAATAAGGTTTCCAAGATACTGCAGCAATAATATTTGACAATAACATGTCTATGCATATAAATACTTATCCATTTCATAATCAAATATTACAAACACTTACATTGTCTTCAAGTTTAGATTTATCTAAATAAACATCTGGCACTCTTTTTCCCCTTTTTAAATTCATTAATGTCTCCATTTTACTACTTTGTCTGTTAGGATCCAGTGGTGAATGAACAGAATGACGACTACTTCTTGAATTACGGCTAATGTTGGAATTAAAACTACTACGTCGAGATGAAGAACGGCCTTCTGCTAAATGTCTTAGTGTCTGAGAAGCAAAACTATACCTCCGACCATTGGGCAAGTTTTTATGGAAAGGAAAATTGCATAGATCATCTGAAGAGGGTGTCACAGCCGCTGAATCATCGGCATATGGAAGAGGAAGGCTCTCTGGATTTTGATGAACTAAAGGCTGGCGTTCAACTGGATGTCCATGTTTCTTCTTCCAGCTACCCTGGTGGCTACTTTTACTTCCGCGCCGAAGTACAAAGGGAGAGCCAGGCAAACTTAAACTTGCCTGCAATATAAGGATGAAAATTTAAGTTGATATAGATGAAATATTAAAAGTCAAACACAAACAACAATTTTAAACATCTTGATTGTACTATTTCTCATTATAAATCATTACACGATTTTGAAAGGCATTAAAAACTACTGTATATTTTTCTTTAATTGAACTTTACAATTTTTACATAGTTTCAAAATGCTATTCCAATATTGGAGTGCAATATCTAAATACTTTTAAAAAGTACCAAATGTCATGGCATAACCTTTAAGAAGTAGTATAGTATTTGAAAGTGAATAAAGATCAAGGATAATAGAGTGGAAAAAGTTGTAAATGCTCAGCTCATTTACAGTATCAGTTACTTTACCAAGTTGAAATTTGCAACTCAAATATGAGAAATACTTGATCTGATGACCATTTTTATTTATTTAAATTTAGCATTTGTTTACAATATAAGGAATATGTATCCCAATGACATATTCATCATTTAAATGATTTTCACACAAAGCTTTTCATGTAGGAAATCATCCATTTCATCCTATTCCTTACCATAGATGTCAAAATATCACCAATATTCCTGTGAACAGGTTAAAACTGACCTTCTTATCATTGAGCTGAGCATAGATAAATGAGGTGGAGATAATATTATAATTTTACATAAATATAAGCAGTATAGGTTCACGAGCTAGCATAAAGACAAGGTATAAAACAATAAATATAAAACATGCTGTTGACAGGAATCAACACTTGGATTAAGATGCATTCAGAACAGATATCTGACATTGGTTGAATTGGTTATCTTTTCAAGCATAGATATCTTGAATCTTACTTTAAGTTTTGTACCTGTAATTTTGGTCACATTTTCAACAATATCATTGAATATGTTTTTTCAGGTGTATCTTTGAACACGTATTTCAGTTGTTTCTTTGAACACGTATTTCAGTTGTTTCTTTGAACACGTATTTCAGTTGTTTCTTTGAACACGTATTTCAGGTGTATCTTTGAACATGTTTTCAGTTGTATCCTTGAACATGTATTCCAGTTGTACTTCTGAACAGTTGTATCATGTGACATGTTTTTCATGTGTATCTTTGAACATGTTTTTTAGTTGTGCCCCGAAACCTATTTTCAGGTGTATTTTTGAACATGTATTCCAGTTGTACTCGAAACATGTTTTCAGTCGTATCTTTGAACATGTATTCCAGTTGTACCTTGGAACAGTTGTATCATGTGACATATTTTTCAGGTATATCTTGTGTTTTAGTTGTACCTCTGAACATGTGTTTCAGCTGTATCAGGTGACATGTTTTTTAGGTGTATCTTTGTATTAGAAACGCTTACTATATCTTGTAATACATGAGACATGTTTTATTATATGGTATAAACAAAAGACTGATTCAAGAAAGCTCTGAAACTTTACAAAGAAGTGTTAGGACTCTGATCACAGCATCTCATACAATCTGTCACAGGTGATATTAGTTTATATATAAATAACCTACTCCTTACAACTGTACTTAACTGAACGGTTGCAGTCAAGATTTATTTAAGCCCTCTGTTATATTACTGACACATTGGTTAAATCCTGCAAAAACTTCTCCAATACTCTGTTGTCCTCAAGTTAAAAGCAAAACTTATCTGTCATTTTTGTTTTCTTAAATGTTTATTATTGTCTTGTAAAATCATTCATATTCCACTATAACTTTTATAGTGTTATTTCTCTTAAAATAAAAATTGCAAAAAAATCAGGACTCTAAGACAGTGTAGACTATTCTGTATCCATACTCCATAACATTGTTGTTTTGTGTTTATTTGATGGGTATGTTAGTGTGTGTGTTTTTTGTTGTTGACCTCAGTAATATGCACAACAGTACATGTCAACTAGTTGTTTATCTTGAAACATTTCCTGACATTACAACATTTATTTAAGAGGTGACTATTCTGCAGCCCCCCACCCCCCTCTCCCAGGATCAGTAAAAAAGAGTAACCATAAGTACAAATGAAGTAAAGTTTTATATCTTGATCTTAAAGCATGCGTTATAAGATGAGTTAAAATTTGGCTTTTTTTTTCTTCAATGGATAGGGTGTCATTTGTTATGTCATTTACATAAGTTTTAATGGGCTTCTAGAATAGAATCATGCAAACTAGGGTTGGTGCTAAAACTTCTGATTATTATAATTCATGCATTTACATGAAGCATTCAATAATGCATTAGCATATATGATAAATGCAAGGCAATACATTATAAATACTACTACTACTACTACAAGATAAAGAACAATGCACAGCCAGAATAGCACTAAGTCAGGGATCTACAGGAGAACATTAAAATACTGTATATGATGTCCTGAAATATCCCACCTATCCTCAAAATGAAAGTTACTTAATATACTATAATCTGTACTACCTATATAATATGTTCCTATGTAATTTTTATAGTATAGTCAATTACATAAAATGTCAATCACTGTAATAAAGTTTATAGTCTGTTTGTCTTGAAATCTTGAACAATGTATACTGGACAATGTATAAAAGAAAATGGACTTATTATTAAGTGAAGGCATTTAAGGAATAGAATACAACATGTAGTACTTTTCTATATTTATGCCACAGATTTTTCATTTACTTATTCGGTCATATTTTAATGACTGATATTTCAAGTTCTGCATGTTATATATTGTCCTAGGGTGTCCACTAAATATTTTCCTATTAAAATTAAATCTAATCCAATTCATTATGTGGAATGACAAACCATTAAATGACAATGCCTTTAAATTTATCACAAGTTGCAAACAAGCCATACTGAAGAAAACTCAAGTTAACATTGCCAAATGTAGGCCTACACTAAAACATTGCTCTAATGACAATCAATTAGACACTCTTTAATTGACTGTAGTTGGTTAATGTGAAATAGTGCTTCAGTTGAAAATATTTAATATGTATGTCTGTTTTTAACTTCACTACTAGTTTTTCTATATCATGAAAGTTATTTAGAAATAACATATAAAAACATTCAAGAGGTGCTATAAGTTGTATAAGTATAGTTTAAATAGTGCCAAGTCAACCAATTTGTGACTTCCAAGGATACAAGTTCATTTTACAGAAACAACGTATTTATAAAAGCAAGAGAAAAAAGCAGATTAGCCATTAAAGTTAGATTGAAATGGAATATTGTACATTCAACATAGGACTGCAAAATAACACTGAGCTTAGACTTTCAATTGTTAGCTTCGTAGTATATAGTATTTTAGGAAAACCAAATGCCATAATATATTCTTAATAAAAGTATATACATACAGATGGTTTATAAAGTGATTGAAAATGTAGACAGTATTTTGACAGTACCTATATCTTATATATCTTCAGATCAGTTTCAATATCAAAATAACAATTTTTTAAATTAACTTCCTTTGTATTTTCAAAATGGCAGTCCAGAAATTCAAATATTAACACATCAAGTGAATGAAAATTAAACAAATTCTAAGGCATAAATGTTTTTCATCAAAGGGACAATTTCTTTTGTCTATGGACATTATAAAACCAACATGTTGTCATTTTATTTTTAGTATCTGTTAATACTTGTGAGACTTGGCATCTAGAATAATGGCCAAAGGTACATGTGTAGATAAGCTGACAAAATCTAAAAATTGATTGATTTTAGTTCACTTTTATTATAAATATTCTTGTCAATTTCCTTTATTCATTCAACTGTAGTTGCTTTAAGGCCAAATTTGTTCAGTAACGTTGCTCTGGATCAGTTGGTAACCGAATAATTTGTTCATTAGATAGCAGACTGTAAGTTAAAAGTTAATTCAAAGATAATCCTCCATTTTAGCCTTCTTCAAATCATCACTTTGTTCATCCACTATGTTTATAGACGGAAACAGATATTATTGGAGTGCCAACAAAATTGAAAAATAAGCACAATAATTTTGCATACAAATATGTTGTAAAATAATAGCTCAACAATATTCATTTACATTAGACAATATTCCATTTTAAAAGCTGAAATACTTTGTAGTAAGTAATGAGAGAAAAAAAGAAACTGGAAATGCAAATAACAAGAGTAGAGTTATAAAGCAAGTAGAAGGAATAAACCAATCATGCTGTATATCATACAAATAATGATTTAAAAAAGGTTGCATGTAAATTGGTAACTGACTGATGTAAGTGACTAACCCTTTTGTGTTTGGAGACTGGTTGTAGTCGACTACTTTTAACCGAATGATCAGAGGTAATACTGAGTCTTTCTTTGTCTTCCAGTTTTTCAGTATTTGAATGTTCCCCTAAACTCTTCCAAGAAGCCTCTGAGGGACTTTTTGAGATTTGTGACAACAATTCTTTACAGTCCTCCACTTGCTAGTAATAACCAAAATAGTTTATTTTAGAATATTATACGATAGCTTATATAATCTTACTTTCAGACATGAATCCACTCTCCATGAAATGTCATTTCCTTGCCAAGAAAGAAGTGTTTTCAATCAAATTATTTCTTAAAATAATTCACTGAATAAAATATCTGATGTTATATTGGCAGTAATGTAATAAATACACTAAATACAGAGTAATAGTAGAGATGAAATTAGTCATAGAGCAGCATTTCTTCACTGACCAAGTCATAACTTTCAAAAAAACAAAAATTTTCATTTAGTATTAAAGTCTGATATGTATTTCATAACCGAAAATTGGTGGAGATGGATACTTCAGCTCTAACATTCCAAAACAAAACTACAATTGAAATGTGGAGAGGCATCAGGCGCGAAGCATATACATGTACTAAATAATAACATAGAATATAATGTTTCATTATCATATAGATATATATATATTTATATGGACTATTTCTGACATTGAATATATACAATCAATCTGTTCTATTTATTTTAGATACAGTATACATTAACTAAGTTGAATTGAAACTCTTTTTACAACTATATCATCATTCAATAACTATATTATACTAAATCTAAAACCTGAGCTACTTGAATATCACCACCCCAATATCATAGCAAATATATAACCAACAGTTCAGTTATCAGAAAAATATTTTCATCTCTTAATTATAAAAGACACTTAAACTGATAAAATGTTCAAGATATCTTGAACATGACAAATTAGACAATTTTTTTTATTTCGAACAGCATCTTTATTTTTTTTCTTGGATAGATGATTAGTAATCCACAATATCATTGTTAAATTTAGGTTAGAAAATTTGGAAAATTATGAAATTTTATACTGAAAAGTATCCATCTCAAACATTAAAACAAACAATAATGAAAATCAATTAAAAATAGGCCTACTGATTTTTATTAAAAGTTCTATTATTGTTATTGATTTAAATAAGAAGCATCTTAAATATCAGGATTGTCAGTAGCAGTAATAATATTGATATATTTTCCAATAATTGGAATGGTGATAATTCAAATTACCATGTTTTATTCATGTTATAAGACATGCAAAATATTACAAACCTTTCTCTCTGCTTCTTCTTCTTCAGCATCTTCCTTATCTTTTCTTTGTTGTTCATCATAAGACATGGCAACAATAGCCAATATCAAGTTCACCAGATAGAATGAACCCATAAATATAACCAATACAAAATATAGAGCATGAGTTTGACCTTCCGCTCTTAATACCTATAAAATATAATATATATTAGGCCTACATACTTCTGATGTTAAAATTGTTGGTTTATATAGAGAATATCTTAAAAAACAGAAGAATGTGTAACGTAAAACATTCATTTAAAGATTGAATGAGGGAATGATTTTTCTGTTCCAACAATTAATTACAATTTTGGATTTGTAAGTCATAAGTCATTTTTTGTAATGATTCTATTTTTATAGGTTTTGAAGGATATGAATAGAGGGTTATAATACTATACTTGACACATGTAACTTTCTCTCATGTCTGAATCTTGTTTGCTAAAACCCATAGAAATACCATATGGGCAATTATCACAACTTACTAACTAGGAAAGGCTACTAGGCAAAAAACTTTGAAAAAAAAAACTTCACTGTTTCACAGTGAAGTTACAGACATTTTTACACATTTTCATAATTATACGAAGTAGTAAATACAAATGACCGATGAAATTTTTAATCAATAAGCCAATAACTTTCAAGTGAAACTCAGTAAAAGTAAACACCTACCAAATGATACAAACTTTCCCAATAATCTTGGGTCATGAGGCGAAAGGCACATAAAAGGGCCCAACCAAAATTATCAAAACTTGTAAACCCAAAATTTGGATTGTCTCCTAAGTCTGGCAAACATGTATGATTGGCAGGGCAATCTCTGAAATGGATAATAAATATCATTTAGAATAACTAGAACAAAGATAGCAAGGTAACATATTCCCATATGATTACATCATAGTAAAACCATCGCCAGCATAAATATTTACCATTAGTCATACATTTCTTCGAAAAATCCAAACGTGATTGCCAAATGGCATTAATTCACATGAAATCTGTGTGTCTTCCAGAGTGTTTACAAGAAATTGTGATAAAATTAAGGACATTGTTGAAAACCATGTAAGCACCACATTAATAGTATTTTTATTACACACTGCTATTTTAAATATTTAGCTTCGATCAGAAATTAAAGTATGGGTAAATCCAGAATCATTATTTCTTTTTACTCAGTTAACATTTTCAAAAGACACCTGGCTTTATGATTTATTTTATTCTTAAATAAAACAGGATAGTTATCAGACTTATTTTATATCTAATACTTTGGTCTTGGACACCAAAAATGATATGTGTGTCAAAGTTCCTGGTTGACAGGGGTCTGCATGCATAGTAGGCCATTATTGGATGAGATTGTTAAAAAAGATAGCTTGCCAGGCAAGGTAATATACGCCCACTGGCAGCTTTGATTTTAAATAAAAACATTTGGCAGTACAGTAACAATTACCAGTATGATATATTCAACCTTCAGTCATACACTTCTTTTGAACTTTTTGAGGCGACACTGAATAATATTACCAAGTTTCATCAAAATCTGTCAAGAATTGGGCCTTCTGGAGTGTTTACAGGCTAAAAATTGAATGTGTTTTCAAGAACAAGGGCAATAATTCATATTAAATATTTTTCGATTTTTCTGATTTTTAGTAGGATTTATCCTTGGGTGATAACAAACACTCATGCCAAGTTTCGTTAAAATCCTTCAAGAATTGTGCCTTCTAGAGTGTTTACGAGCTAAAAATTGAAAGCGTTTTCAAGAACAAGGGCAATAACTCATACTAAACATTTTCCGATTCTTCTGATTTTCAATAGGGTTCATTCTTGTGTGATTACGAACACTCACACCAAGTTTTGTCAAAATCCGTCAAGAATTGCGTCTTGTAGAGTGTTTACGAGCAATTGTGGACGGACAGACGTGACGGCAATATACGGGCCCCATTTCATGTGGGCGTATAAAAATAGGCTCCGCAAGTCAAGCTCCCATTTTGTATTTCAAGTTTATTTAATTTTCTTTTAAAAAAATATATACATGTTTGCATATCAAACTGATTTATATATTTTACTTTAAACAACATACCCAGCTCCTGACCCATTACCACATACTAGATATTCTACACCATCAGGAGAGAACCAATAATCTAAAAACATTCAAGTAAGTAAATAAACAGCTCTAAGTGTTTTAGTAAGATAGAAAATATAACAATATTTATAACTTTAAAAAAAAAATATAAGAATGGTGGATCAATCATGGAGAGAGGGCTGGGGATTTCTGCAAAATAACAATAAATACCTCAAAAGCACCTTGACATATCATAATCTTGATCTAAAGTATCTGACTAGTCAGTGTAAAAACTCTGTACTGTTCAGTACCTACCTGTATTGTTAATATAGGCTACAAACTCTTCATGAGAAACATTTTTTCCAATTTCCAATCTATAATCGTACACACATTTCTGTCTTAAAGCACCAACATAAAGTTGCATACCAATAAGTGCAAAGATTGACAACACAAATAAACTGAGGATCAATACATCACGTAAACGTTTTACAGCTTCCAATAAGGCACTAACAATAGTTTTCAATCCTAGAAAAACAAGTTCCAAATATTAATCTTATAAGAAGTTGAATAAAAAAAACCTTGATAGTATGTATATTCATTTCCTTCCACTGTCTTTTCTTCTGTTTGATTTCGGAATTGTTAAAGAGGCCTAATCTTTCTCAGAGCGTCACAGAAGAGAATGTGCTACATTTTTTTTTACTAAACATTAATTTCTAAAGTGAAAGGATAAATATAGACTTGTTGGCTTCAAGATATTGAGACATATTTTTGAAAATGTAAACATCAATTAAGATAATAATTCAAACCTGTAATTTAAAACCTTATGGAACTATAATAAGACAATTTTTCTTTAGTACTTTTAGGGCCTTGTTAATTGGGTAATTTTAAAAGGGACAATGTGGATCAATATATTTTCTTGTGCTCAAAATGAGAGTTATTGAATAAAAGGTTTTTTTGAAAAATAGAATAAACAAGTGGTTGCCCAGCAAGATACGCCCACTTTACTGATACATTTTTAGTATATCAAGGGCAGTCACCTATCTGTGTCAAATCATACCAAAAATCTAATTTGTGCAAGATATTGTTGACTAAACAAACACACATTATTTAATAAAATTCTGACATAAACTGAATAACGCTAAGAAATTTTGATGCGTTTTTACTAAGTCAAGGGCAATAACTCAAATTCCGTTGATCGAAAAAATGTCAAATTCAATATTGACTAAGATCTCATCAATTATAAATGATCATACCAAATTTCACTTAAATCGGATGAAAAATGTACTCTCAATTGTGTTCACAAACAAATTTTGACGCGTTTTTCTTAAGTCAAGGGCAATAACTCAAAAACCGTTCATCGAAAAATAGCCTAATTCAAACTTGTCAAAGATCTCATCATTATAAATATTAACACCAAATTAAATTTAAATTGGATGAAAACTGTAGTCTTCATTGTATTCACAAACTAATTTTGACGCATGTTTCCTATGTCAAGGGCAATAACTAAAAAAACGTTCATCGCAAGATAGCCAAATTCGAACTTGTCCAAGATCTCATCATTATAAATATTAACACCAAATTATATTTAAATTGGATGAAAACTGTAGTCTCTATTATGTTCACAACCAAATTTTAACGCGTTTTTCATAAGTCAAGGGCAATAACACAAAAACCGTTCATTGAAAGATCGTCAAATTTGAACTTGTCCAAGATCTCATGAATATAAATGATCACACCATATTTCATTCAAACCAGATAAAAACTGTAGTCTCTATTGCGTTCACAAGCCAATTGTGGACGGACGGACGGGGTGACGACAATATACGACCACATTATAATGTGGGCGTATAAAAAGCTACATATTGTTTGACTGACCTGGTATAACTGCTACTGTTTTCAGAGCCCTCAACACTCTGAATGTTCTTAACGCTGATAAATTTCCTAATTCTTTTATAAACATTGTCAGATACCTGTCAAATATATCATAGTTCACATAAATCCTGCCTTCTATACATGAAAAGCTTCTTAGATAATTTGTAAAATGTTTTGTTGTTTGATAAATTAAATGATAAAACTTCGGACTCATTTGAAATCAGACAATGTCTTGATCCAAATACACTGTCATCTTATCCCTCAAAAATTTTCATTGAGCCTTTCAAATTTCCATGAAGGACAATAGGTACAAGGAGATAGTGTTTATAGGAGATATCAGCAAATCAAAAGGCTGGAAGGCATTATGACTGCAACAAAAAATGCAATATCTATATCTTTTGGTCTAAAATAAAGTAGAACTTTACTGAGAAAATGTGATACTTACGCTATAGATATTACAAAGAAATCCAGCCAATTCCATGGTTCTCGTAAATAAGTAAATGGTTTTAAGATAAAGCCTCTAGATAAGATTTTCATTATAGCTTCTACTGTATATATTCCAGTAAATATCAATCTAGAAATATTACCAATATTATAAAAAACAAAATTCATTACAACTTTACTTTTTAACTATTATGTTTGTTGAAAATAAGATAAATGAATTTCTATTCGTTGATATGATTATATGGATGTAGTTTATTGTTACTGTTGATTGAATTATTGGATGAGTTCAATTTTCAATTATCTTGAATTTTCAATGAACTATGTCCAAGATTGCATGTGAACACCAAAAAGAATACATTTAAGATTTGAATTTAATGAAACTTTGTAGGCTCTTTTCTACTGAGAAGATTTAGTAAAACAAAAATGAATCAAAATCAACATGCAAAGACTGAGAGCCTTTGGGACTTTTTTCTGCTGTTGAACCTCATAAGTAGCTTTCATCATCTCACTTGAATTTTTTAATTACATAATAATTATTGCTAAATTTTCATGTTTGAATATTAAAACACATCTTCAATTTTATTGTTGTTTATAAAACTTGTGATTAAGATAATTTATAAACAACAATAAGATTTGTTCAAAAAAGATGCCTAAAAAAATTAAATCACTTACTCAACATATTCTGGAGGGTTATCCGCTGTTGTCATAAAAACACAATTAGCAAGGATAGTAAACATAACTAAAACACTAAATAATGTTAAACAATATTAAGGAAAATTATGAATATGTCTTTATATTTAAACTACAACATTTAAATAAATAGAAATATCTTTCATCATCACTATAACAACAACAACAACAACGATTTAGTCCAAAAAAGATGAATATCCCTGACCCAACAACTATTATTTTATTATAATTCTTTTATTCATTATAATAGTTTTCCATGCATTGTCAAAACAATATCAAAACAAAAGGATATGGATGTACTAAGATGAAAATTGCTATTCTTCTAATGATGTTAAATGGACTAAGTATGAACAAAGCATCTGTTGCTGAAAATCTGTAAATGGTTTTATCTCTTCCAATAACTACAAATGTCTGAAACACAATTAAAATACAACTAAACAATGGGTGAGTCAAGATTTAGGATGGGAATTAGAACAATTAAGGACCCAGTAGATAAAAATAAATCTGCAATAACATTCGACTCAAAATAACTTCAGTTGACACTTCACAGTATATAAGAAATCAGGAAAATCAGACTCTATGTTACAATTTTTACATTTTCAATTGTTTAGTAATCCAGATATAAAAATAATTTATTACGTACCAACTGATTGTGATAATATTCATCTAAATCTTCTACTGCCCTGCCTGTCAAAGACATAGGAAAGTCCTCCAATGTTGGTGGTAATTTACGCCCAGCTTCCAATTTTGGATTTGGCTTAAGTTCTGGTTCGTGGTGGCTAGGTTCATCATCAGCCTCATCATCTGAGGATTCTGACTCCTCCGCTTCCACCTTTTCCGTCTGTTTAAGAGCATTTTCTTCTGCTATCCGCCGTTGTATATTAAACAACGACTCCCGTGTAAATAACCTAAATGGACACGAATCTACGTCCTCATCGACTTCCATTCTATTACAAATCTATTGTGATGCATGCACTTTTTTGTCAAAAATGCTCCACAACCACCTGTAATTATAATTCAAGATTTTATTAGAATTAAAATTCAACAAAGGAGTTTTACTAAAATTTTACTAAAATCAATATATATACTAGAGCCACACGTGGGACTTTGCAAATGTAGCAAAATGCAAAAGACTCTGAAAAAATCAACCTTCTACGATAATTACATCACGCGCAAGAGCAGTCTAAAGTTGAAAAGAATTCTTTGGAAGATTGTTATAACGGAAGTAGACAGACCTCACAAATGAAAGTATCAGAAGATAGCCAAGGTCAATGACATTTGACATTGAAAGGGAGACGGTCAACAAAGGTCAAGGTTACGAGATACAAGTCATCAAAATTTTGAAATATATACGACTATAAGGAAGTTGAGATAGGACAGCAAATATAAAAGTATAAATAGATAGCCAATGTGAATGACCTTTGATCCTACAAAAGTCAGGGTCAAAATAGGTCAAGGTCAAAAATTGAAAATTTTGAATTTTCAAAACCTGTTCCTTTTTTGAACTATAAAGCTAAAACAATCAAACTTCTAAGACAACGTGGCTCAGCAGATGAAGTAAATGTATGCAAAGTTCCATTTTGAACAAATGCATACGCTGCGAGTTACGTCCCTTGCCAAAAATGTCACGCCCACCTCAATTCTTTTTGCATAGGTTAATTGATATTCTGAATGTTACGTTGTGTTTTAAATTTAAAGCTTCTACATCATACAGGTCAAAAGATATAGGTCAACAAAAGTCAACAAAGGTCAAAATCGAAAATTGAAAATATCCAAATGTTAAAACCCGTTCCTTTTTTGGAACTATAAAGCTGAAACAACTGAGCTGTTAACACAAACTGGCCAAAATAATGAGATAATTGTGTGCAAAGTTCCTTTTTGAACAAACGCATCCTATGCGAGTTATGCCCCTTCCCAAAAATTTAGTAATTCAATCCGGATGTGCCACGCCCATATTTTTTGTCATAGGTGAATTCATATTCAAAGTGTCTAGATTTCAAAATTTCAAGGTTCTACATCAAATAGATCATAACATATACATACACTAAGCTCAAAGAGACACAAATATTGTAAAAAAAAAAAACCTCAAATTGAAAAAAATGACGAATTTCAATTTTGCTTTAAAATAACGATTGTTATATATCTATGTAAAGTGCACGAGAAGCACATTAGGAAACCGAAAAAATTTACTCTCTAGGTTAATTAGGTCACGTGCTACAGCAGTCCAAAGTTGCGAATTTGTTTTTTTTTCGGACAGCTATAAAACCGGAAGTACATGTCGGAGGTCAAATGTCAAATTATCAAATGATAGCCAAGGTCAAGGTCATCAAAGGTCAAGGTCATGAGAAATACGCCTTCAAACTTTGAAAAAAACAATCCGGTCGTACAAAAAAGGCAAAACCGAAAATCAAAATTATGCTTCCTATCATTTGTAGACAAACATTAAACTGATCGTTTGACACAAACGTTGCGCAAATCGGATTAAAAATGAATTCTGGGAATCGATTTGGACAAAAATGAGGCAAACCAATATGGCGACAAACATGTTATTTTTTTTAGTTTAATAAGTTTGTATTAAGGCTGGTAATATAATGCATATGTTACTTTTGACATAAATCAATTCCACCGGAAGTGACGCCACCGGAAATACTAACATCGAAACCGAAAGTAATGAAAAAATTTTGAATGTGTGCTTTTATTCCACTTTGCTGGCGGTCTACACCATGTAAGTTTCAAGTCAATCCGCCAAAATTGGATTATACACATACATACCAAGTTTGATGAAAATCGGATAATAAATAAGAAAGTTGGTAATGCGCACTACGCAAATTCGATAATTTCATCAAATTTAGAATTAGATTATACCCATACATTGCAAGTTTGATGAAAATCGGATAATAAATAAGAAGGTTGGTAAATTAAGTGGGGGTATACCTTTAATGTGTTTCTGTAAGCTCAACTTACCTTATAACAGTGTTCAATCTACCCTAGAGCTTATTTATATACCATAACTGCACATAATACATATTAAACAAATATATAAGGGAAGGTTTCTTTAAAATGAACATAGACTTTTTGATTTTAATTAGTTCTAACAAGTGTCGACAGGTTGTTTACAGGGATTGTACAATAATAGCCCCATGTTAAGTGAATGGGGTTTTGAATTTGCATGTAAGATATGCATGTAAGATATGCATGCATGGAAAGCTCTCGATGCGTAGATTACGTTTCTGTAAATATTATGGTTATAACATTAATAGAATGGTTTCTAAGCTCTTTAAAAGAAAATTTCTCTATTTTCAAACGCCCATAACTTCAGAAATTATAGTCGGAAACAAAAAATGAAAATACCATCGGATAGGTATTGTCGAGGACATTAAGCCATATAAAACTCAAGGTCATAAGACTTCAAGGTCACAAGATAAAAAGCCTTAAATATTGAACAAATTTGAAAATTTTCATTACAGAATGAAAAGAAAGCAAAATCAAAATTCAAAATTCGGCTTGCAGAGAATTGTTGACAAAGTTTCCAGTGACACCAAAAACATGCAAATCGGATAAGAAATGATAGAGAAATATCGATTTTAAGAAATATTACGCTAATCAAAATGGCGGTTTTATTGACGCTTCCGGTCAAATTTTTTTCGCTCATTTTACTTTGAATAACATTTATAATGATATGCATATGTGTTTTTAGGCGTAGCTGTGAAAAATAAAAAGTTGCAAAACTGACTTTGAAGGCAATTTTTGCAAAAACTGGAATGATGCAAAACTTCTGAAAACACATTTGAATTTATCAACATGACAATATTTTCCCATATAAATTTCAGATCGATTGACTTCATAGAAATCGTTTTAGTACAGTGCTAGAGAGGCTTTGCTATTATAACTTGCAAACAATTTAGCAAATTTGCATAATTGAATGTGCCATAGTATAACGTTACGTTTATGCAATACAATGCAGAAAATTCTATGAAAATCGAGCGGTAAATAAGCATACCAGTGCTTTCCGTAGTTAGTCATGGTGGCCCACCACTACGCATGTCCGGTTTTTCAAAATTGTGCCGTTTTACATTTAAAATCTAATGACCACGGAGTATAGATACGACATAGTTAAAAAATATCCATACCATGTACAGTTTCGTCTGTGAGCTCTGTCAAGAATTCGAAAAAAAAAAAAAAACAAATTAACGAAAACAAAACAAAGCAAAAAAAAAAAGAATTGACATTTCGATTAAAAACTGGGAACAATAAATTTACAGGTATATAGAACTTCTTTGATTTTTTATAAACATATTGAATGCTGAGATTTGAAATGACATATTTAATGAAAAATCAAAGAATTGAGAAAGCCAACAGATAAAATTTAATCACAATTTTCATCCTAGATTTTATCCTGTTAGCTCCAATTTCTTTAGTAGGAGGTTATAATGTCTGTAGGCCTAATCATTTAGTCTTGTAACTGATATAGTGTCTAGTAACTCTACTATGTCTGTAATAAATCATTTAAACATGTCTTGATACTGATATAGTGTCTAATAATTATAATAATATGTCTGTAATAAATCATTTAAACATGTCTTGATACTGATATAGTGTCTAATAATTATAATAATATGTTTGTAATAATTCATTTCAACATCTCTTGATACTGATATAGTGTCTGGTAATTATGATAATATGTCTGTAATAAATCATTTAAACATCTCTTGATACTGATATAGTGTCTAATAATTATAATAATATGTCTGTAATAAATCATTTAAACATGTCTTGATACTGATATAGTGTCTAGTAATTATGATAATATGTCTGTAATAAATCATTAAACATGTCTTGATAGTGATATAGTGTCTAGTAATTATAATAATATGTCTGTAATAAATCATTAAACATGTCTTGATACTGATATAGTGTCTAATAATTATAATAATATGTCTGTAATAAATCATTAAACATGTCTTGATACTGATATAGTGTCTAGTAATTATAATAATATGTCTGTAATAATTCATTTAAACATGTCTTGATACTGATATAGTGTCTAATAATTATAATAATATGTTTGTAATAATTCATTTAAACATGTCTTGATACTGATATAGTGTCTAGTAATTATAATAATATGTCTGTAATAAATCATTAAACATGTTTTGATACTGATATAGTGTCTAGTAATTATAATAATATGTCTGTAATAATTCATTTAAACATGTCTTGATACTGATATAGTGTCTAATAATTATAATAATATGTCTGTAATAAATCATTAAACATGTCTTGATACTGATATAGTGTCTAGTAATTATAATAATATGTCTGTAATAATTCATTTAAACATCTCTTGATACTGATATAGTGTCTAATAATTATAATAATATGTCTGTAATAAATCATTAAACATGTCTTGATACTGATATAGTGTCTAATAATTATAATAATATGTCTGTAATAAATCATTTAAACATCTCTTGATACTGATATAGTGTCTAATAATTATAATAATATGTCTGTAATAAATCATTAAACATGTCTTGATACTGATATAGTGTCTAGTAATTATGATAATATGTCTGTAATAAATCATTGCTACTTGCTACTGAAAAAGTTTCTAGTTACTATAAAAAGTCTGGTACACATGTAAGTCAACAGCTAAGCCATTTGTCTCGCATGCTGATCGTCTCTGCCATATGGTTTCACAGCAGACGGTGCAAATTTAGCTAACTTGTTCGCTCAACTGATCAGGTTATGTGACTTATCACGTGAATGCTAGAAGTTCATACTTGATCACAGAAATTATTACATTACATGTATTTATAACAGCATCAAGTCTGACCAAAGTTTAATAATTTTATCATCAAGAATTAGTTGATGGCTTCTAATGCCATTTTAGACAACAGTGGTAAAATATCATGTGGCAGCTTAAATGCAGTCTATTGGCAATTT